TTTTTTTGAGCTGGAGTTCTTACTCTGTTGGCTAGGCTGGAGTGCAGTGGCATAATCTTGGCTCACTGTAACCTCTGCCTCCTGGGTTCAAGCGATTCTCCTGCCTTAGCATCCCAAGTAGCTGGGACTACAGGTGCCTGTCACCATGCCTGGCTAATTTTTGCATTTTTAGTAGAGATGAAGTTTCGCCATGTTGGCTAGGCTGGTCTCGAACACCTGACCTGTGATTTGCCCTCCTTGGCCTCTCAAAGTTCTGGGATTACAGGCCACCATGCCCAGCCAGAACTGAAACTTTCTTTTCACATTTTGGCACATTAAAGTATGAATGTGCACATTAAAACATGTTCAGTGTTTCAATGAAATATTGCACGCATTTACTTTATTTGGCTAATGAAAAAAATGAGATTTAAGTTAAAAAGCAGTTTTTGTTCTAGGCAAATTTATCTTGGAAAGCAGTAGACGTTAATTCTTAGGGCTTCTGTCAAACTAGTCTGGTGTGGTCCTTCTTGAGCTTCCCCAAATGTACTTGCTCTGTACCTCATTGTCTTGGTTTGCTAGATTCCTAGAATGTATTGTTGCATTTTAATTGACCTTAGAAAGGTATGCTTTATGTATTCTCTTTGAACTCATTCATAAACTTACTGGTGACAAATCCTTAGACTGTAGTAACCAAAGGTCAACTGGAACCTCTGGATGTCCTTCATTGGCTTGACTCCTGTGCCTACATTGGCCCTGGGGCTCTGTTCCCTTAATTTTGGCAAGGATTAAGGGTTTGCCTCCATGCTGAGTCAGTTCCTAACACTCATTTTTGTTCAAGATCAAATCACCAAGAGAGTGAGTGGCTCTGGCACACTTACAAAGATGTGAAGTCCTCCTTTCCCAGATCGGAGAATTCCTTGCAGACTTTATCCTTTTCATAATCTCGGCCTAAGGAGGCAGAAATAGAAAAAAATTGTATGTTTCCCCCTTTGATCAATATTATATTACATGTGCATGTATAAAGTCATCTTCCATGTGGTCTATGGTGAAAGTAGCATTTTCTCAATGTTTATATACAATTTCATATTTTGAGTGTCTTTCTAGCTCTTCTGTCACAATAGACCACAAGTTTATGGCATTCTGTTAGTCACCAGCAGAACAAAAGGAGAGAGTAAACTCATACTGAAAGTAGGTGAGTCAAATGACACATGTCAACTAGTGAGTCAGAAGCCACTGATGTGGCAACTCTTAGGTCCTATCTTTATAATGATGCCGAAATGAGAATTTTTCTCCTTTCCTCCCTCCTTCCCACCCTCTTCCTCCCTTCCTTCTTTTATTGTCTCAGTTTCACTTAAGGCCTGAAAAGGAAAAAGAATAACAAACAAGTAGAGAGTGTCTCCATTCCAAGGCAAGGGCAGCACCATTAATGCAGGACTTTAAAGGAGTTACAGAAGAGTTAGTGCTGCCACCCGTGCTCTGTTACTCACCTCCTGCTGTCTAAGGGAAGGCTAAGAATTCAACTGCAGACAAGGTGGAAATCAGGCAGACTATTTCGGACAAAGTTAGTGTAGTGAGTCTGGGGGATGGTGGGGAGTGTTCCCTTTCACTTGCACATAGTGACAAGGGCTTCAATAAACAACTGAGTACTTGAAAGGGGACTCTTGGAGTTTGGGGTATAATAGACAGGTGTCTGATTCAGGCTGGAGAAGTCTAGAGGGTGATGGGCTTGCAAGGTGGCCTGGAAAACAAAGCAGAGGACTGGGTGGGAAGCAATGGTGTGACGTGCAGAGCTGACATAGTTCAAGCAGGAGAGTGAACTGGCCAAGAGTTATCTTAAATATATTTCCCCCAGTCCCAGCTCCACCCCCACAGAAAAGTGATATCTGCAGGGCAGTGGACTGTCAATAAATAGTTGGGTCTCTATGTGGATGTAGACAATTTCAAAATCAGGGGCCCAAAGGAGAGTCTTAAGGTGCCACCTGCATATGAGAGATATCCAGGAATAATGAGGGAAAGAGATCATCAAAGAACCCAGTAAGAGTAAAGTGCAGCTTTGCACGTCTTCATAACCACAGGAGACAACCTTGGCTCACCATGCTGCCCACTGAATTTTTTTTTTGTCCATTGAATTGAATTTTTCCTGCTGCTGTCTCTCTTACTAGCTTCTCCTTTCCCTGTGTTAACCCTGGAGGGGCTAGAAGCAGCCTAGAGGGTACGGATGAAGGAGAAGAGGAGAATAGGCAAAGAAGAAGAGAGGCAGGTATCTGTGTTCCCCTTTCCCACCACAGGCAACAGGACTGAAACAGGCCTGAATGCGGGAGTAGCTTCAACTTTCAGTACATTAAAACATTTTGACTATTAAATACAACTAGACATTCTCATGATGAAATGAGATTGGTATTTGAGAGGGAACAGAAAAATCACAGGACCTGCTCTTGAGTTCATTCACACTACAGGGAAGAGCTAGTTCCTGCAGAGAGAGAGGAGTTCTTTACTAATCATGAGACCCTCTTGTTCAGCGGGCCCATCACATATGTAGTAGGGTGGACCCTTCAAAGTCAGTTAGTGTCCTCCTAATCTGACTCTTCTTTTATGCAAATAAGCCCAGGAAATTTCCCTCCTGTGATGTTATATCTCCAGAAAAAATGTAGGAAGTATATAAATGCCCTACTCTCTGTTTTAAGTGGCTTTAACTTTTAGTGGTTTACCCTTCTCACTTTAAATGTTGGGAAAGTCATCTCAGGTGATATGATGGTAACTGCTGTCTGGCATTAATCCCAAAGAGTCCTCTCCTCCCTAACAGTTACAGTTCTATGAAAGACTGTGTAAACATATGCCTGAGTGAAAATTTCTATTTGATGGCTTGCAGTGGAGGTGGTGGTGATAGGATATAGACTTGAAAGGGTTGTATTTTTTTGGTTGAAGATTCTCTTTAGGAGTCATCAGATTAATGCCGCCTGTTTAATGTCAGTTTGCCTATAGAGGAAGCAGTCACAGCATGTGTTTTTTTAGATGGACACCCCCCAAAATATTTTTGAAGTGAGAAAAGTCAGATTTGATAATTGTGAGAAAAAGACATTCTTCAGGAGCACTTTTTAACAAGAGACCTACTCAAAACACCCTTAAAACCACAGGGAAAGTGGAAAAGAACCCACATGCCTGAATCTGATGTTATTCTGGCAACTAGGACAACGTAGTAGGGTTGATAAAGCTAATTGTCAGTGGAATCAAAAAAGCCACTCGCAGCAAACCTCTGTTATGTCTGAGAACCTTCAGATCTCGTACATTTTCTGAAATGTATTGATTAGTTTACAAGGTTGGCTATTGTGACACCTTCAAAAGGTTAAACAAGGCAGAAAACTTCCATTAATCATTAATGGTATTCTATGGAGTTGAAGACTAGAAAAATTGAGGCTAAACTGTTCTCATGTGGTGATAAGCTGTACTTAGGATGTCAAGAGTTGTCTTAGTTTGCTTCTAAAGTAGATTTGGTTTATTAAAGCTGAGCTAGAAAAAATGGCTGGGAGTTATATAGCAGTAGATTTTAGTTCAATGTAAGAAATCTTTATTCCAACTGTGGCTATTTTATAACTGAAATGAAAGCAGCGTATTAAAGAGGTGAGTTTGTTTTGTCATTGTAAATATTGAAATAGATTTAAATAACAATATATGTAAAGATCCTTGAATTTAGTACAATGTATCCTCATGATGTATAAAATCACTTGCTGAGGATTATAAACCAGTCTCTTTAAAACAGAGATTATAAGGAATTTTTTTTTTCAAGGCTTACTGTGTTTTAAGACACACACAAAATAGCTCTAATTAGAACTTATTTTCCTTTTAATAAATAGGAGCTTTGTTTAAATCCTCCCTATAAAATGGAAGAGATTATTTTTGTTGGTACTTCTATTGTGGCCATTATTCAATAATATGCAAAGTGAAATCCTGTATTCAAATGAGGTATCTCTGATGAACATTTTGAGGAATATTTTGCTTCTAACCTTCCAGGTTCTGATTTTTCATTTCACCAAAAAAATGTAAAGATTTCTTTCATATATTATGGGAATGTGAATGTGCATGTGAAGGTGGTGTAAATGGGCCCTGCAGATTATCCCATTGAATAATTAGAATTGAATTAACTATTCAAGTTTGCACACAGCACTTTAGAATTCACGAGCATTCTATACTACTTTAGTTAGAATGCAAACTGGTGAGAGAGAAGTGGGAAACTAGATAGACTGTATAAGGCTTAAAGTGGTTTTGAAACTATTTTTGCTGGAACATTCATCCTTGGGTGTGATAGGAAGCAAGGGAGGAAGCTCAAGTTGGATATTGAGAAAGCTCAGAATTAAAATATAAAAATAACATGTAGAGGAAGCTGTTGCACCTTGATCTTTCAGGTGAACTACCCAAAATACACTTCTGATAATTTTAAGAATTTATCTAAAGTGAAAATATCTAGCTTACAAGACTAAGCCAATCTATGTTAATCATTGTCTCAATCTGCAAATACAGCAAATAAATACTAAAGTTAATTTGCAATATGATTATTACGAATTGATTCCCCATTCCATGGAATACTACAAATAAGTATGTTTTTTTTTCTTGCACCAGTTGAGCTCACTCCAATTCATATAGTTGAAACCTGTCTCAAATGAATTGTAAATGATATGCTCTGTTTTTAAATGTACCATTTAGTGATAAAAAAGGTGATTTGGACTTTGATATACCCCTAGTAAATATTGGCATAATCTTAGTGACTCTGGTGAAATCATTTTCACATCAAGTGACCCCCACAGTACTAAGTGTTTACAAATTTCATTAACGGAATTTTTGCTTTTTGGAACAGCATGTTCCATTTTTTTTTATCTATATTGTGAAACATTCTGGTAAGTATTGTTTAATTTTGAACTTTTGAAAGCCAGTTTGATTTATTTTCAGGACATCTTTGCTGCTTCAGGCACCTTACCTCTGCCTACAAAGTTGGCAATATTCATTCATACATGCAACAAATATTTTTTGAGGCTTACTCTGTGCCAGGCATTGGGTTCAATATCGAATTTGAACATACAGTGGAGCCCAAAATAGACTCATCCTTGCCCTCATGGAATTTTCATAATAAGTCATAAGATACTATCTTGTTAACAAGTTTATTCAAGTAAGTATTTGGATACTTTCACTGTTATTAGTCTTTCACTCAAATCTAATTTGGTTCCTTAGAACTGTTATTTGTATACCAGGAATATTAATAGATGCTAAATAACATTGATGTAAATAAATGCTCATACAGGATGCTAGGAATTGTCTCAAGTTGCTATTTTCCTGTTGTATTCTGGAGAGTCATGGGCTTTAACAGCTCTGTTGGGTATTTTATATTTTCACAATTTCATTTCTTTGGCATGATAAGTAGTGAGATGGTAGAGGAGTTCATTGATGATTTTATCATTCCCCATTATATACAGATATCAAACTACTCCATTGTGCCCCATAAATGTATATCATTATGATTTGCCAATTAAAAAACAATACCTTTTAAACCAGTAAACACTGGACATGGGTGATTTCCTTTCACTGTTTCCTATCAATATACACATCTCAATGACTACTGAAGTTATAACTGTATAAACTGAAAACAAATTATGCAATCTAATGGCAAAGATATATCGTACATGTATCATTATTTATGTTTCTGTCATCACATATGGTTTTGTCAAACAGCTCTCCTGAGCCACTTCAATGCATTTTAAGTCCAACAGATTGCAGTCTCTTGATAGGAAAAATTTCATTTCAAAGATTAGTAATTTATGTTTTAAAAATGATAAAGAGTAGATTTGTGTATATTAATTTTTAGTATGGACAAAACAGTTTCACAGTGCTTGTCTCCTATAGTGATGTATCAGCAATATTTTTTCATAAATGAAATATAGTTTTCTAATTTTTCTTTTTAA